ATTTTAACTATAGCTACAGTTTTAAGATGGTTATTCAGGTTCTATTTTACTTTGTTGTTGTTGTTGTTAAGTGCCTTCGAGTCGGAGCCGACCCATAGCGACCCTGTACAGGGTTTCCGAGGGTGTAAATCCTTATGGGAGTAGAGAGCCTCATCTTTCTCCCGCAGAGCGGCTGGTAGTTTTGAACCACAGACCTTAAGGTTTGCAGCCCGATTCGTAACCACTACGCTACCAGAAAAATCTTTACGTTGTCCCCATCTCAGTTCCCTGGTTTCAACTCCACGGTGTACGTACCTCATCACTGTTGTTGTCTCTCCAATATACCTATCTACTTGGCTGAAAGTTGAACCACAGGGTGAACTCAGTTCCAGACCTGAAGGATAACCATAGTCTCTAGTTCTTCTAGTCTCTCTCCAACCAGTTAAGTCTGCTCTTTTTTATTATTATTATTTTGTGTTTTGTTGCAGTTTCTTCCACTCTATCCAGAATCTTCTAATATGATTCCTTTCAGAACACCTGATAGTGGTAGCTGGATACCATTTCCTCTGATCTCAGGATCATGGAGACTGATGTTCACATATTCCATGAGTCCACTGGATTGAATCTAAGTATCTCCAGTTTCCATCACTCTTCTTTCCTCTGTATAGGCATAGACCAACAGGTGCACCTTAGATGGCAGCTCATAATCTTTTTAAGATCCCAGCTACTACTCACCAAAGTAGGATGTAGAACATTGTCTTTGTGGACTATGTTATGCCAGTTGACCATGGTGTCCCCTGAGATTAATACAAATTAATGAAACAAGATTTATTCATATAAATTAAGAGATTTATTGTTAATTAATTAATGTTATAAAAAAACTTTCCCAAAGAAAACTTTAGACTCAGGTGATTTGATTAAATTCTAAAAATGGACAGCTATAGTTGAGTCATTAAAAAGCTTTTAATATCAACAGAATAGTGTCCAAGAGTCAACACGATGTAGGTTGTTTAAGTGCTAAACACTACAAAGAAACAGGAAATTGATGCTGATAAAATTCATTTCTTCTTGCCTTTCAGAGGTTTGGCAAATAAAGCTGGGTCTATCTGTTCCCTCGTCAGTCCCCGGATGGAAAAGAGCCGTGCAGCACGCTCCTGCAGAGTGCCCCCACATTTCAGTCCCAGGGTCATCAGTTTAGACTTGAGTTGATCCAAACCCAGAAACTCCAATTCCTCAACAGAGTGGAATGACAGCAAATCTACAGTTCCCAGACAAATATCCTGAGGGAAAAAAAGTAATTAGAACATACTCCCTTTCCAATGAATGTTGTTAGGTGCCAGCAACTTGGTTCCAACTCACACTGACCCAGTGCACAACAGAACAAAACACTGGCTGTTCCTGCCTCATCTTCACAATCATTGCTATGTTTGAGCCCATCGGTGCAGCCACTGTGTTGACCCACCTCGTAGACCATTTACAATGACCTATATTCTATTTTTAAAGGATTTTCCATATAATTTGCCATATCTTACATCTAAATTTTAACAATCAACTGGTACTCCACATGCCTTGCCATTACACATAAATAATAAATACCAATTTTCCATCTATGAGGGTTAGTTAAAAAGTATTGCTACAAGTGGTTGATTATTCTAAGGTGTACATAAACCTTAACCCAATTCAAAATAAAAAGCTAAAACAAGAATTTCTAAAACAAAAAAATATTGCTAAAAAAATCATAGAAACCTTTTTGAAACAAAAATAACCAAATATGAAGCTACTGTTTCTTGACATTTCCTTCATCTAGGTCTATCCATTTCTGAAGGCAGTGTTTCCATCTCTCTAACCCTTCCCCAAAGAATTGTGCACTCTTCAATTTGCACCACGTCCAAACAGCAGGCATTCTTCAGGGACTCAAATCATTTTCCTTTGAAATGAGTTACGGGAACAAAAAGAAGTCTTAAGGGGCAAGATCAGGGCTGTACGGTGGATGGGGTACAGTTTTTTAATGAAATTCTCATAGGTCAGTCTTTGCTACCCACAAAGAATGAGCAGATGTATTGTTAACAGAAAAAAATTCCTTGCTGCAACTTTCTGAGCCTTTTACTCACCAATGAAAATTTTAATTTTCTTAAAATTTCTTCCTAATTAATCCCCGGTGAAAATCATGTGTCCTTTGAGAAAATCTATCAATTTACTCTTTTGAAATCCCCAAGAACAGTCACCATAACTTTCTGATTTTGAAACTGGAACCCTCGTAGGAATACTTTTTGACTTACCTTCATATATATATCAGTAAACAAGCTATTAGAACGGCAACAAATTCTAAGGTTAAAGAACAACGTTCAAGAAACAAGGGTTTCTTCTTTTCAAATAAAATATACTAGCCTATCCTTCACTAGGAGTCTTGGTGTGGCACTGCGGGTAAATGTGCTGTACTACAAGGTTGGTTTGAACTGCAGGTTGGTGGTTCAAGCTCACCATCCACTCCTCGGAAACCCTATACAGGGTTGCTATGAGACGGATCCGACTTGACGGCACTTAACAACAACCCTTTACTAGGAGTCCTGGTAGAACAATGGATTAAGCACTGGGTTCCAAACTGCAAGGTCAGTGGTTCAAACCCACCAGCCACTCCTCGGGGAAAAGATGAAGCTGTCTGTTCCCCTAAAGATTTACACCATCAGAAAACTTATAGACTAGTTCTACTCTGTCCAACAGGGTCATGGAGTCGAAATCAAGTTGATAGCAATGGGTTTAGTTTGGTTGTTAAGTGCTGTTGAGTCGATTCCGACCCATAGCAATCCTGTAGAAGGTTTCCAAGGAGCAGCTAGCTGGTGAGCTTGAACTACCGACTTTGCAGTTCAAACGACCTCGCAGTCTGATGCATTAGCCCACACCTATACTAATTACCAGAGTCCTGGTATGGCGCTGTGGGTTAATGAGTCAGACTGCAAAGCTGTTTGAACTACAAGGTAGGCAGTTCAAGCTCACCAGCTGCTCCTCGGAAACCCTATACAGGGTCGCTATGGGTCAGAACCGACTCGACGGCACTTCACAACAACATACTAATTACCACAGAAAAGAGCAGGCATTCTAAAAAGCTTAATTTTAGTAAGATTCCCATACCTACAATGAATCCACTATTGTAATGCTTTCTATTCTACTAGAATAATTATTGCCAGAGTTCCTTCCCATTTATGTAACTCAGTAATTTCAAATGCTATTCAACAGAACTTTTAACTGTTCTACCCACCAAGCACTTTTATAGACTTCAGACACAAATACTTCTAATGATGACTATTCTGCAAAGAATGAAAATGTTCACATACAGGATTTTAACAAATTGTATTTAAAGAACCATACTTTTTTCTCACAAGTTACTTTTTAAATATTAAAGAGCTCTAAAGATACCCTTTCTAGTTGATCTTCCTATTTTTTTAAGAAAAGCCATTTTGTTAAGACTTCATTAAATCCATGGCCAATTCCTAATAACATCACTTACAAGCCTTTGGAGAATGACACACTTTTAAAATGAATACAATGGTTACTCTTACAATACCAAGAATAAAGTATCTATGGCTAAAGGCTAAAACATGATTTTATTGTATTGTTCTTTTATTCATTTTTCTAAGACTTCAGTCAGGATAAAGCTCCTAATTTAAACAGGTAACATAAAAGTTACATGCTCAACACTCCAGAGGTGGTGTGAGGGAAACCCAACCTAGTTAGAGCAGTCTACCCCTTTTTACTTAAATACTGGGGGTTGAGGAGGTCATGTTAAATGACAGGCTTCACGTTCAAAAGACACCAAGTAAAATTCAGGTTTTATCTATTCTTAAAAGCAAATCATAAGCTTAAGAGTAATCATTACAAATTTTTGCTAGAAGTTGGTCCATTTATGACAATGAATAATCAACTATTTGAGCAAAGTATGGACAATGCAAATGGCTTTTTAAAAAGACTGAGTGCTGTGCTTAAGATTTCATAATAAACTTAAAAAGAGCTGCTTTTTTTCCACAGGAAAGATCTTCACAACCCACTGACCATTGTTAAAACTGTATTTCAGATGGGAAGGAAAACTGAGTCACTACTGAATTAGTGATAGAATTATCACATTTTATCCAATCTAAAACGCCATCTTACTATAACATGCTCCATTGTTTATGTAATGTTAAAGAAGAAAAGGAGTACTGGTGTGGCGCTGTGGGTTAATGTGCCAGACTGCAAAGTCATTTGAATTGCAAGGTTGGCAGTTCAAGTTCACCAGCTGCTCCTCGGAAACCCGATACAGGGTCGCTATGGATCCGAACCGACTCGACGGCACTTAACAGCAGCAAGGAAGAAAAAGAAGCACAGTGGTGCAGTGGATTAAACACTGGGTTGTAAACCACAAGGTTGATTGATGATTCAAATCCAACAGGTACACAATGGAAGCTGAGGCTGACTGTGTATAAATAAACATTTACAGCCTCAGAAATCCAAAGGAGCAGGTGTACTGTGTTCTACAGGGTTGCTGTGAGTCAGAATCGGCTAGATGGCGGTGGTTAAGGAAGAAACAATGCCAGTTAAACTGTAATAGGAAATAGACGCACATCCAATTTCAGAAATGCTAAAATGTGAAAAACACGCACTGTGGAACACATACAGAAGCAAGGACACCACCTACTGGTAAGATAGTATAAACTCTGAGGCCAAAAAAATATTTTAAGAATTCTGGTAGGCAGGGAGGGGGCAATGCAAGCTTCCCTATGATCTCTACTTCTGAGTGTTAAACCCTTTCCATTAAGCAGCTGATAGGAAAAAGTACATTTTCATTTTAATAATTTATTGTAGAGATAAAATGTATTTGGCTCTCTCTGCACACCTCCCCCAACATTACTTACCGTGCTTCCTGACTGGTTTTCCTCTAACTTGGTACTGGGAATGTTTTCCCTGTCTTGTCCAGGGGCTACCTTGGCAGCTCTTTCCCCATCAATCATTTCTATCTTTTCCTTTTCATTCAGTTGAGCACCAGCTGCTTCCTTTTCTATGGGTTCTTTATTTTCTGCTTCCTTGTCTACCTGGGTCTCCTTGGTTTCTACAACCATCTTCCTTTCTGCCTGCTCCTTAGTAGCAGTCTCTCCCAGCTTGGCACTCTGGTCTTCATATGTATCGTTCCTAGGGTCAATTATTGGGGTTTGCTGTAGTTCTTTTGGTGACCCAGAGTCTCCACTCAATACTCTAGGCCTCTGACAACCACTGGGGAATTCAGTTGCCAGCACAACACCATCACTGCCATGTTTTGGAGCCTGACAGCTCATTCCTGAAGTGCTAGGTGCTTCATCACCGTCATCATCTGAGCTCTCAGAACTGGACTCCTCCGCATTCTCTAGTCCATCCATGCCCAACCTAGGAGAAACAACACAAGGTTTAACACTATTTATAGCATATACTTAAAACAAAAAACAGTTGCAGTTAGAAATTAGATAAAACAATTAACAACTAAAACAATAATTCTAAGATTTACTTAGAATAATCATCCCAAACTAGAAACTACCTAGGTGTCTATCAACTGGAGAAGGAATAAGCAAACTGCATTATACCTACACCATGCAATTAATAAAGAGTAGTATATACTGTGGGTCAATGCACCAGATAGTAAGCTGTTTGAATTGCAAGGTCGGTAGTTCAAGCTCACCAGCTGCTTCTCGGAAACCCTATCCAGGGTCACTATGGGTTGGAACTGACTCAACAGCACTTAACAACAACAGTAAGAAGAAATGAACTGAAACATGTAAGACCATGGATCAGGCTCCAAACCATTATACTAAGTGAAAGCAACCAGACACAAAAGGCTATGTGACGTCCTGGAAAATCCTACACCACAGATATAGGAACCACATTAGTGGTCAGTGGTGGCTAGAAGAGGGGGAAAGCAGTTTAACTGTAAAGGTGTACTACGAATCTTTGTTGTTGTTAAGTGTCACTGAGTCTGTCACTGAGTCAGTTCCGACTCATAGTGACCCTGTAAAGGGTTTCCAAGGAGTGGCTGGTGGTTTTGAACCACTAACCAGTGCTCATCCTACAATGCCATACACCAGAACTCTAGGGACCATTTTACAATGATGGAAATATACTATAACTTAATTGTGGTGGTGGTTACATGACTGTATATTACGTATTTTCAAAACTCAGCAAACTGTTCAACCAAAAAGGATAACTTTTACTACATTGTTGTGTGCTGCTAAGATGGTTGAAACTCTGTATAGGGTTTCTAAGAGCAGCTGATGGGTTTGAACCGCTGACCTTGTGGTTTGCACTCCTCAATAATAAACCTGGCTTTAAAAATAAATAAAACCAGAAAATGCCATTACTTTATCTTTCAGGAACATTTAACTCTCATCTCAGAAAGAATACATAAAACTCTATGCTGGACGTAGGGTTACATGGCCTTTGGTCTTCCTGTCTCGAAAGGGAAGGCCAACAAGGAAGCAAGCTCCACGCGCACTCATCATTTTTGATAACTTGGCCCACAGAAACTGAGCTGGCAACCAGAGGACCAACTGGGAAGGGTAGGATAACTATCAGAAAAACGGGTAAGACAAATTAAGTACTGTACATCCACAAAGTGAGAACACAGAAAACAAGTGAAGTGAAGAGACAGCTGGCAAAGTGATCAAAGAGCTCAATAATTGGAGACGGCGGGGGGGAGAATACCACAAAAAGAATATCTTTGGTTTTCAACTGGAATTTTGGAAAGCTAATAAACTTTCTTGAAAGCTAATACTTTCAACACCAAGAAGTACAAGTTTAAAGCAATTGATTTTTATGATTTTTCACTCTAAGAAAAACTACTCTTTAGATCCAGTTTACAGCAGAAATTATTATTAGCATATACAATGCAATAATCATGGAAACGACAGCCTCCTGGAGAATTTCTGCCCTTCCATCAAATTCTCTTAAAAATGTGTTTCTACAACCTATATGCCCACCAACAGAAAAATGGATAAACTCCAATCCACGCACATAATGAAATACTATACAATGTTAAAAAACAACGATCCTCTGCCAAACACCTCAGAACATGGATTAACACTTGCTGAGTGAAAACAGTCAATCACAAAAGAACAAATATTACATAAAACCACCACTGTACAAAGTCAAGGAAAGGTTTTCACACTTAAAAAAAATTTATATATTCTTTGGTGGTTATCAGGAATGGGAGAAAAATGGGAGGAAAGGTAACATACAATAAGGAGGTTGCAAAAAATGATGGAAGAAACATCTTGAAGGAATGAGTTGTTGGGTTGGGGACTTGGAGCAACGGTCAGTGGTCAACTGGCAAAACACAGTCCACAAAGACAGTGTTCTACTTTCTATTCTGGTGAGTAACGACTGGGATCTTAAAAGTTTGTGAGTGGTTATCTAAGGTGTAATTATTGGTGTCTCCCTGTCCAGAGCAAAGAAGAATGACAAAATCAGACAAAAGTAAACAATTAGTCCAATGAACTAATGGACCATGTCCATGTGAACATCAGTAAACACAACCCTAAGATCACAAAAATTAGATGGTGTCTGGCTAGAAGGTCCTGGATAGAGTGGGAGAAAATGTGGACCAAAACTGAAAATTATAAGAGACCAGGGTTAATGGTCAAAGACACTGGTAGAACCCAAGACTATGGCCCTTAGTGACCCTTTATGCCAGGAAGTGAACTCACCACCATAGCTCATTTTCAGGCAAACAACAGATAGGTCTATAAGGAGAAAAACACAAGAAGTACATATTCTTTAGAATAATCAACTGTTTAAGATAAAAAGGACAACATGTACCCAAGGACAATGTTCAGAATAGTTAGGAAATGAGGAGGAATGGAAACAGGAGACACAGGGAGGGAGTGGGACAAGATGCTACAGTGAGAGAATGGCAATCAATGAGCTGAAACAAAATACAAAATGCATAGGAACTGTTAAATGTAAAGCTGATGATCTGCTCTGTAAACTTTTACCCAATATATAATGTTTTTTTAAAAAAGTGTTTGTATTGGAGGGGCTGGCGTGCAGGGTATACCCCTCGGTTGTTTGAATGGTTATATATTCCTGAGTGCTTCAGTGAACAATCAAAAAAAAAAACAAAACAGAGAGATTGGAAGCAAATGCTATTGAATGATGATATGCATGGAGGAGATTGTAATCATTGCAATGAAACATAATACGATAGGATTAGTATAAAAGCTGATACTTTCCCACATAAACTATCACTGAAGTCACAATCAAAACTTTGGGGGGGGGGGGAGTGTTTGTTGTAGACACAAGCAATAAAAAGATCATTGTTGTTGTTGTTAAGTGCCACTGAGTCGGTTCCAACCCATAGCGACCCTATTTAGGGTTTCCGAGGAGCAGCTGCTGAGCTTGAACCACCAACCTTGCAGTTCAAATGGCTTTGCAGTCTGGCGCATTAACCCACAGAGCCACACCAGGACCCCAAAAGATCATACCGTTCCTCAAATACCAATTTCAAGTAACCATGAAGCAAACTTACCAAAAGCATTTTTTCTTTTCTGCACTGACTCCTTTGCTTGCTTTCAATTTGTTAGGCCGTTTCCGATTCTCAGTTATTTCTGCTGATACCACTTTGCTGGAGGCAGCCTGCATACCTAATTAGAAATTTGAATTTAACAACTCAGTTTCTACCGGCAGGACAAAATTTAATTCAAGATGGTACAAACAATCCCAATGGAGCCCTGGTAGTATAGTGATTTACGAGTTAGGCAGCTAAAAGCAGGGTCACAAGTTCAAATCTACCATGGGAGATGAGGCTTTCTGCTCCCATAAATATTCACAGCCTCAGAAACAGGGTTGCTATGAGTCAGAACTGACTAAATGGCAGACAATCACCACCACCATAAACAATCTGCCACACATCTGTCAGTTTGTCATACTGTGGTGGCTTGTATGTTGCTGTGATGCTGGAAACCATACCACCGAAAATTTAAATACCAGCCGAGTCACCTACAGTGGGTATGTTCTGGAGTTTCCAGAGACAGACGAGGAAGAAGGTGCAGGCGAACCACTTCTGAATGGCTAGACACTGAAAACCTTATCAATAGCAGCAGAACACTGTCTGATACAGTGTCAGAAGATGATAGGTTGAAAGGCACTAAAAAATACTACTGAAGAAGAGCTGCCTCCCCAAAGTAGAGCTGACCATAGATGAAGATGGAACAATGCTTTCAAGACCTTCATTAGTTGATGTGACATAACTCAAAATGGGAAGCAACAGTTACAAATATCTATTAATAACTGGAACACTGGACTGTTCAAAGTATGAATCTAGGAAAACTGAAAGTCATCAAAAATGAAACAAATCAAAACAGATATTTTATGCATTGTTGCTGCTGTTAACGTCATCAAGTCAGTTTTGACCCATAGCAACCCTATATAGGGTTTCCGAGGAGTGGCTGGTGAGCGTGAACCACTGACCTTACAGTTCAAACCGACTTTATAGTCTAGCATATTAACCCACAGCATCACACCATGAGTGAGCTGAAATAGGCTGGTATTGGCCATTCTGAATCAGACAATCCCATGGTTTACTATGCCAGCAACAAGTTGAAGAGCAATTGTCAAACAGAACGTTTCAAGATCTCTTGAAATACAATGCTGTCTATGATAGGATAATATCCATAAGCCTAAATGGAAGACCAGTCAATACCACTATTATTCAAATTTACACACCAACCAGTGATGATAAAATGAAAGAATACTATCAAATTCTTTACTCTGAAACTGACCTAATATATACTCAAGATGCAGTGAGAATTATTAGTGAATGTCATGCAAAAGTTGGAAACAAAGAGAAAGGATCAGAGAACAAATAAGATGGCGGATCGGGTGGACGTGTAGCAGAGATCTCCACCAACAACAACACAGAATACCTGACCAAGCAAACTCAGGGGATGGTCCCAGAACTCTGAACCACATATAAAGGAATACTTAGAAGGTTGGAAGGCTCACAGCTGGGGGA